TGTTGTTTGCTCTTGTGTTGTTATGGTTGAAGCTGAAGTATTCATTGACAGGTAGGACATTGCAATGTATGATTTTATATACTATACTTAGATCGGACCAAAGGTGGCGTAGTTCTAGGTTTTCTAGGTCTAGAATTTCGAGTCTGGTGGCATAAGGTATTCTGAAACGAGTAGAGGAGTAAAGTTCTGGTTCTTCCTTACACACAAAGCCAGCTGGTTTACTTTAGACCAGTAATTCCCACTTTGCCCTAGGAAAAAGACAATGGCAAATCATTTTCAAAACTGTTGAATTTTAAAGAAAATTGCAGAGATTTTTCAGGAGTCAAAGGCATAAACTGCCATCCCAGATCCCTGTTTAATAATAAATAGTCAGTATTGCATTCGCTCACTGCAAGTAGCACGCTGGCTGTGGTTTGCAATTGTCATTTTGAATTGAATAAATATATTTGAAAACAGTAAAAAAAAAAGTAGCTTATACTTCAGGACAGTGTCAGCATTCCAGCAACCCTCCATTCCAATCAACAACTCTGAGACAGACATCTCTCAACGGTTCCTTTATTTAGATAGTAATTGGATAGTAACTGGCCCATCTGTGGAATCCCGAATCTGAAAGTTTCGGGCTTCCTTGCAAAAGTCAAAACTACAAATCCATCCCCCCATTAGCCATCACCACATCACATGGTCCAATCACCATCTGTCCTAAAGTAAGATTCCCATTTCTTTATGTGCCACACTCAGTGACCTTGAACCAACAAAAGAATTTTATTTTGTCTAACGAGATATAGTCAAATGAATTCCTTCCTCCCACTTTCTCAGGCTCAATTGTGGCAGCATGGGATCATCAAATCTCAATATGGCTTCCAAAGCTGACAGACAGTTTCTCCAAAATTATTGCAACTTAGATAACTGTAAAGCATTAAAAACTCATGAATTAGTATTGGAGTAAAAATAACCAACCCAGACATTTTTCATATTGAAAAGCTTTTTAGCATAATCATTGGGTTTATTCATGGTAGGTGAATTGTTACAAATAAAACAATGTTGTATAGAAATAGGCATTGTTAATAGAGGCATTTTTTGTTAGTTTACTTACTACGCAGAGAACAAACCCATTGTTACTTTCCTACATCATGGCCAAAAGCATTGCTATTAGAATAGAAAGCAGTAGAAGGTTTGCATTTGGTGAAATTTGTGAAGATTTGTAAGGGTGCCACAAAGTGAAGGAGACCTGAGGAGGAAAAAGAAAGAAAGAAAGCAGGTAGTGAATCGCAAAGAGGAAACATAAAGAGTTATTTTGGAAAGGTTACTGGAGACTTTGAAGGGAAGTTGTGAAGGGAAATTAAGGTTTTATGGGTAAAGCTGTTGAGAGAGAAGGAAGGGACAAGTATATTGATTTAATTCTTGAGAGTGGAGAAATGATGATGGGGAAGGAACAGAATCTGTGTAGTGTTTGGCTCCCAGCCATATGGAAATTGTGGTAAGAGGCTCTTAGGCTTAGGAGCTTTAGCCAATCCTGTTATAGGTTTTAACTAGCAAAAGATTTGTTGTTTTTAGCTTCCAGAGGCTAGTTCACTGGCATATATCTTCAGTGAATACCTCTAAGACTATTATCATAATGGAAAGGAAATATTTCATATTGAATGTGAATTATTTCTTTGGTGGCACATAATATGAGCAAAGGAGAAAAGCTTGAAGCTACAAAGCATGGACCGGGATAGAGCAGTGTTTCTCAACTTGTTTAAGGTGTGGGTTTCAATGCCCAGAATTCCAGGGAATGTATGTATGTGTGTGTGTGTGTGTGTATGTGTGTATATGTATATGTATATATTTCCATATATACGAGGGCTATCCACAAAATAGATGACCTTTATTTCCTGCTTTTCAACCTCCGCTGCTTCACGCGGCACAGCCAACTGTTGCGCATTAGCTGTTTTACACACAAGGCTTGCAGCAGAAGGTGAGTTGCAAACGCTGCACGCATGCAAAGTGCACATGTACACATAAAGCATGTGCTCACACCAAACCAGTAGGAAACCTTTTTGAAACCCACCACCTCATTAAAAGATGAAAATTGTGATCACATGATCATGGGACATTGCAAATGTCCATACATTTGAACCAGTTGTTATTTGACCATGGGGGTGTGGGTGACAGTCTGTATTCCAGAACCAGATTGTAAGTAGTTCTGAGAAGATCAATCATAACTTTGCTAAGTGGGTGGTCATTAAACCAGGATTATCTGTATAGTTAAATTCTTCATAATTATTGGTTGGGTTTCCAGATAAAGTCACTATGAAGTGGAAATGATGAATACTGTACTATAATCCCACTGAATCCAAAGCAAACTAAGTCAACTAAAACCTGATGTACTTGTGTATGTTTGATATCACCTAAATACAACATTTTTAATATATATGTTGTGATTTTTAAGGAGGACCCATTTTGGAGCAAGATTTGAGTTGTTGTACTCCATGTATTTCTATCATTTGACATATCATATTGCTTATGTTTTGTTCAACTGTCAATTATATGCCCCTTTAGTAAGGCGTAGATACTTACCATCCCTAATGGAAAAAACAGCCAATTGGATTTCAATCACAGGTTTTCTTATTTCCTCCTGGACTCCAATGTATCTATTGTAAGCAGAACTGCTAAGTTTATAATTAAGGCAATTAAGAAAGAAATCCAATACATCAAACAAATGTAGGTACCTTCCTGTAAGAGAGATGCATTTGCCAATTGCTTACTACTTGTATTCCCAGATATGTATTTTATCACTGTATTTCCTTTTATCTATTTTTTTCATGGAATCAGATTGTGTACTTTATTTTCTTTCTTTTATTGATAAGATAGTAAGAATAATAAAATAAAAAACTATTCTAATCTACACAGTGAAAATTCTCTTTAAGAAACTCTTGTTCTGTGTATTTTATTTTTTTGGTATTGCTTAGTTTAATTCTAAAAGATAGGATACTTTTGTTTTATTTCAATTTTTTTCAATTTTATTTCAATTTTCTTCACATACATTTGATAAACACCAGTTTGCATACAGAAAAAAATAGATCTAGAGAGGACGCTATAACCATCACTCTTCACACTGCTCTGACTCATCTAGAACAGTGGGGGGGCTACATGAGGATGCTTTTTGTGGATTTTAGTTCTGTGTTTAGCACAATTCTTCCACATAGATTAGTGTCTAAACTTCTGGACCTTGGGCTTTCTAATTCAATCTGCCTTTGGATTATGTCCTGTCTGGCCGCTCAGATTAGGTAATCATACCTCTTTAGCCCTTATTCTTAACACTGGTGCACCACAGGGTTGTGTGTTGAGTCCCTTACTCTATACTCTTTATGTGCATGACTACATTCCCACTCATGCTACTAATACTATTGCTAAATTTGCAGATGATACAACAGTGGTGGGACTTATCTCCGAGGGGGATGAGTCTGCCTACTGAAATGAGGTGGACCAGTTGCTTTCATGTTGTGGAGACAATAACTTGGTCCTCAATACCAATAAGACCAAGGAGCTTATAGTGGATTATAGAGGGAACAGATCAGACATCCAGCCCTTGCTTATCAATGGAGACCGAATGGAGCAAGTGGCCAGTTTTAAGTTTTTGGGTGTTACCCTAAAAGAGGACCTGACCTCGGAAGCCCACATTGCAGCCCTGGTCAAAAGGGCTCAGCGGAGATTATACTACCTGAGGCTTCTCAGAAAACAACTGAATGAGAAACTGCTGGTGACCTTCTACCGCTGCACCATAGAGTATTTTAACATACTGCACCTCTGTGTGGTTTGCCAGTTGCACAGTGGCAGATAGGAAAGCACTCCAGAGGGTTAATGTCATTGCCCAGAAGATCATTGGTTGCCCTCTCCCCTCTTTGGAAAAGCTTTATAGCTCCCGCTGCCTTAAGAAAGTTCAAAACATTCTCAAAGATCCATCTCATCCTGGGAACCCCCCTTTTTTTAAAACTATTACCATCTGGCAGACGGTACAGAATAATAAAAACAAGGACAAATAGGCTGAAAAACAGCTTCTATCCCAGGGCAGTAGCTCTTTTAAATTCTGCTGTATAGTGCAGTGTTGGTGTGGTGTCGGGGGTTTCCAGTTCAATGTGTGAAGAGGGAAGGATGTGTGTTTGTGTTTATTTTCATGGTCATGGTCATGACATGCACTGAAGATGGTGTTTGATTTCGTTGTAAGAGGTACAATGATAATAAAGTAAACTAAAAAATAAAATAACTTTCTGTCTTGTTAGATTTTCATTTAGAGTGTTTTATCTCCTAGTACTGCTTGTGAAAGCCAAATCATTTTTTGTTCTTATGTTTGTCCTGAAAAATGTTCTTTCATATTCATAATCATCTGTCTCACAACTTATGACATCATACTAAAATACATTATCTGGAAATATATGTTGTTTTTCCTATATCTTGCATTATTAATTGAATTATGGTTAGATGGATTTGTCTAATTTTGTTTGTAATGTCTTTTACTCCATGTTCATTCATAACTCCATTTTGTCATATTTGTCATAAATGTATAATTTTTAATTTAAAAACTTTTAAAAATAATATTTATGTACTTCCATGATTATACTTTTTGTACTTTCTTTCAAAATGTCATTTTAATGTATTTCTTCTTAGTTCTCTAAGAATACATCACAAAATTCAGAAAAGTATGTAGTTGAGAGTGTAAAAATCAAATTTATTTTGTTAAAGGTTTCTAAACATATTTTTCAACTATCTGTAACTGGAATATTATGAGAGCAATAGTTTTGTTGCAGAGCTGAACAATAGATTGTTTCCTGATTAATAAGCTACAATCACTGGAGGATACTTTCTACTTCCTGTCTTACAGGTCACTCTTCCTATAATCTCTTGAGGGACTTCTAATGCACACTTGTGTTCTTAGAAAAATTTAACCATTTGTAGTTGGAAAGATTCATAACTTCAACCCTTTTCTTGTTTTTATATATGTATTACTATTTTCCTTTCAGTTGGTCCTCATACTGGGCGATATTGTGGACAAAACACACCTGGTCGTGTTCTCTCATCAACTGGCATTCTCTCCATGGTTTTCTATACTGACAGTGCTATAGCAAAAGAAGGCTTCTCTGCAAACTACACTGTGGTCCACAACAATGTTCCAAAAGGTCAGTGTTTTAGTCATCCTTCATAATGGTACATAAAATATTTTCTGTATATCTTCTCTCCCGCTGAGTGCTGCATGAAACACATGGAAACCCTAGATAAATAAGACTTGTGTCCTTTTGCGTGGACATGTTTTTAAAACAACTCCTCTCATTTTCAGTGTCAAGAGACATATCCACTTCTATTAGTTCCTGTAAAAAGTCATTAAGTTATAGAATTCCCTTACCCTTGTTGAAACTGAGAACATTAAATTTAAACAATGAAATCCAACCTAGATATAAATTGTCCAAGACTTCATAAATTATAATTATTTATGTATATGGTCTATTCTTCAAGTACACTGCAACCTGTATTTGGCATCTCATTGCTGCAAAACACTGGGAAGGAATTATCATTGAGATTGTCTTGCAAGATCAGCTCTCTTTTTTTCATTTATAGAGTATGAATACAGGAATATGAGAATATATTAGGCATTAAATTGGAGGCTTGAGCATTCTGATGCCATTAATGTGCTCTACTGCTTAACTAATTTTTAACCATTAGCTAATGGACTGCTCATGACCCATTGGGTCATCATTTCACAGGTATTTCCTATCTAAACAGAGAAACAGAAGAACAATGAATGGGGGAGGGGGACAAAAAAAAATACTGGGAGTGGGAGAAACTTCCAATTTCCTGCTAGCTTTCCCTTGACTTTCCTTGTAGAAAGTTTGCAGAGAGTTCTGGAATTCTCAATCACATGAGTGCAGATGCTCATGACAGTGAAGCAGCTTTGAAGAGACACAACTTTGCCAAATTTCAACCCTAAGGAAATCATAGTTCCCATATTTTGTACACATTCTGTAAGTTAGCCCAGTTAGGTAGGTTGGTTCAAAAACTATCATTGCACTATCACGCACAATTTTATCCAATGAAGGTTACAATCCATAGACACAAGAGTTTTTGTAATATATAGATTTCTCACAATCCTGTTTTTCAGTTTTCATGAATAAAAATAAGAACATGTATTATTTATGAAAACACAGAACACTTTTCACCTTAAATCTGGTTATTGAAACAAATATAACCATTTAAAAACTTCATTAAATGTGATTATAGAAGTAGGTGTACAGAAGGTATATAGAATTGATGTTCAGATGCCACTCTCTTATTTAATAATAATTAAAATTAACTATCTTCAGAAAGTAGGAACTATCAAAGTATCATTTGTCGCACAGCCAAAGACAATGCAATTAAAAAAACATGAGGCCATGAATAATATTAAAATAACAACAAAAAGCTGACATTCATAGGGAAACAACATTTTTGACCATTTTCATTCTGCATGTAGGAGAACTTCACTAAAGTCAGAGAAAAAGGGAGGAAAGATCAGGGGAAAAAAGAGGAGGTGGGGAGGAAAAGAACTAAATTTAGAAATAACTGTCAATGTCCAGGACAAAAACAGCATAACCAGAAATCCCTCTGTAGCAAGATAAGAAATTATCACTCTAATAAAGGAGAATATTTGTAGGTCAGGGTTGAAATGAGGGGTCCTGGGTTGTTTTCTTGCAGACGTTTCATTATCCAAAGAAGTTGCATCATGAAATGTCTCCAAAAAAACAATTAAGCTCAGAAGACCCCTAATTACTACTCTCAACAGAAAGTTATTCTACTTCAAAATTTGTGAATTTCTTAACAAAGACAAGTCACCTGTTGTCTTTCAAGAATTATAAATCCCATCTATTATCAAGTTACCTGCATCTAATCCTGTATCTTTGGCTTGATTTGTTTTCTAAGCAAAGTAATGTTAAAAAACAAAAAAAAATGCTTATTCTGTTTTATGGAGATAATTCTTCAGCTAATAAGCTTGAGGGCTCTTGATATGAAGCAGCTTTATAGGAGATTCCACTTTAAGTTTCAGGAGTTCTTAATTGCACAATACAATTGCAGCAGACAATATCTAAAACACATTTTCAAAGTAACAACCCTTATCTATATAAAATACTGGTACAATCAGTTATAATTTTTCTCTTTGGCTTTATAAAAATATTTCTTTCAAAGGGAAACATGCTGAGCAACCAGATCCAATTTGATCTTTTTTATTAAAGTTCCACACACGATTTAAATTGCAGTCAAGAGTAATTATATTCAACACTTCGTTTGTCCTTTCTTGTTTTATTATACCATTTATTGCTGCACAAGTGTTTTCTTTGTATGAATGTAACATTTGTTATAAGGACTAGAATGAGATGAGGTAAAATGTATGTGAAGAGCAGATAGACAGGTTGTAATGCAAAAAAACTATAATAAAAACAAATACACTAAATACAGGAAATTATGCAAGGTGAATTGGTGTACCTTAAATAGGCTAACTTACAGAATGCATCCAAACTCCAGGCCCATTGGTCCTGTGGAATTGAAATTTGGCAAAGTTGTGGTCTCTTCAGCTTAGTCACATGGCTGTATTATCGCCACAATCAGCCTCGGTCATATAACTGTCATTGCCAATGCTCCCTACCAGCTTCCCATGAGGAAAGTCAATGGGAAAACCAGTAGGAAGTTAAAAGTTGCACCTGCTTCCGTTTTTCGTTGCCCCCTTATAGTCATTCTGTTTCTCCTTTTAAGTAAGGAAATGTCTCTGAAATAATGAGTGTCTAGCATAATTCTAAAAGCTGAAATCAGAACTATCTTTATATTGCAGTAGTTTCCTTTTTATAAAGCAACATAATTATACTTAAGTATTCCTGTCTAAAAAGGATGCAATAAGAATATCAATGTTTGGGTTTTTTTTTTGCTCAGACTTCCAGTGCATGGAACCACTTGGCATGGAATCTGGTGAAATTCATTCTGACCAGATTACTGCCTCTTCCCAATATAACCCCCAGTGGTCATCTGAAAGGTCCCGTTTAAATTATCCTGAAAATGGATGGACGCCTGAAATTGATTCTACTAGAGAATGGATACAGGTAAGAAAAAAAATCAAACCATGTTTATAAAAGGCATACAAATTTGTTAACAGATTTTCAAAGATAGCAAACAAACTAACTAAAGTGATAAATAAATTTTCCATAATGTTTTTCTTTTTACTTTTTAAAAACAACATAGGGAAAAGAATCTATAGAAAATACAGATTCTGTGTCTGAATGTCTTCACTCTTTGCATCCCCTATTAGGTTTATATAACAAATAAACTAATCCTCAAAGGTATAGAGGGAAAATAAAGAAAAGGTCAAGAAGATCCATTCTTTTCCTTCCTGAATTTTTTCTCAGTCTTCTAGGCACAAATATCAGATTTTGTTTTAATGGGAAAAGTCAATATTAGCTTAACAGGCACTTAAAGTGAAATGGTCTGATGAAACAGGCTTGGTGATGAATGATACTCAAGAGTCGCTTGTAAGAGTCATATATGGATACACAACTGAACATTTTACTTGTGACCTACGCTTTTCACAAAATTAGACCAAAGTTGAAATTATATATATTTTTTGTATACTAGAATATTAGACTTGTGTCTATGACAGAGAAATGGAACCAGAGAGCAGCTGCTTTTGTAAATTTAAAAATGAAGCATGAAATGGAAGACGGGACCCCTTTTCATCAGAGGTGAAAGAAAAAGTCAAGAAGTAGTTATTAAGCTGGTACAGAGTAACCTACATTCAGTTTGGCAAAAACATTTGCACTTTGAAAGAGACGTGGTTAGCTTTTTCAAGGCAAAAACACAATGCATTTTTTCTTAATGAAACTATGCACTTTGTCTTAAGTTACTGTAGGTCATTGCTTGGAGAGAAAGCTTCTTTCTGCTTTTCTGCCAGACCTTTCAAAAACATTTTGCTAGCTGAGCCACTTCGGTAATATTATAGGATTCATTCTGCATCATGGAAAAAATGGGGCACGCACCCAAACATTCTAAATTAAAGAACTTCAACATGTACTACAGGGTTTCCCCACAGTTCACAGAAAGTGTCCAGCCACAAGAAAAGCTTTTGTAGTTTTGGCAAATCACCAAACTTTGCAGTATGTGAAAAGTCCCAAAGTGCTTGCTGAAGCCATCTAGAAACATTTTGAATGGAACCAATTTTTTCTGCAAGTTCTGTAGGAGAAAGCTGGAGGGAGTTGTAAAGCAAAGCAGCACAAAGCAACATGGTTGGCTTGCTTTCATCTAGAAATGGCAGCCCACAGTGTATCATAAAGAAACTTCTGAGGGGTACTTTATGTGACATCATGGGACCTTATCTCTTAGTGACTACAAAGGGGGTGCATTGGTTGCTGATTTGATTCCAGGTGCCATTCATGGTGCTGGTTGTCACCTTTAAAGCCCTTAATGCAGTGGTGTGATTCAAAAATTTTTACTACCTGTTCTGATGGCATTGCTTGGTGTGCGTGGTGTGGTTTGGTGGATGCGGTATGGCTTGGTGGGCATGGCTTGGTGGGCATAGCAGGGGAAGGTTACTGCAAAATCTCCAATTCCCTCCCCACCCCACTAACCTGCTTTCCAGCTCCATTCTCCTGTGCAGGGCAACAAAAGAAGACCCAGCCAATCAGCTGGGACTCAGGAGGCAGAGAATAGATGGCGGTGGGACCAGTCAGAGGTGGTATTTGCCGGTTCTCTGAACTACACAAAATTTCTGTCACCAGTTCTCCAGAACTGGTCAGAACCTACTGAATACCACCTCTGCCTTAATGGCTTGGGATCAGGCTATCTGAAATATCGTCTCTTGCCAATCACATCCACCTGACTCACTAGAATGGGGAGGCAAGGAATCTTGTGGGTCCCATCTCCTAAGAAGGTACATCTGATGGGATCCAGAAGAAGGATGTTTTATTTGGTGGCTCCCTCCCTCTGAAACATCATCCTTCCAAAAACTAGTCCCCAGTCTGACACTTTTTCAGAAGGCCCTGAAGACATGGTTCTAGTAGTGGGCCTGGGGAACTCACAATGGGATGAAGTCCATTAAATGGCTGGTATAAGTGAGTGAGGGGATAATAATAATAATAATAATAATAATAATAATAATAATAATAATAATAATAATAATAATAATAATAATAATAATAACAACAACAACAACAATTCCACCCACTGTATGACATTATCTTGCCATAGTTGTGGGCCTTGAGGAGAATGAGAACTATGTTATACTGAACAGTCTCATCAGAAGAGCCAGATGGAGAATGTCTCTTGCATAAACAATATGGTGAGATGTATTTTATAGAAATACATATAAAAATATATAAAAAATTATTATTATTATTATTATTATTATTATTATTATTATTATTATTATTGTTGTTGTTGCTGTTGCTGTTGTTATTTCTTTTATATTGTATTTTTACTTCATGTAAACCGCCTTGAGTCACCAGTTTTCAGTAAGCAGCAATATAACTTTTCCTAATAAATAAATAAGGGTGGAAGTGCCACGGGGGTGGGTGTTGATGAGATTCTGGGAGACCTAGACTAGATCACACATGAATTGCAATGAAAATTGGATTAGAAGACCTCGGAGGTTCCTTCCAACTCTGTTATTTGTTTGTTTTAATTGCAAGAGGGGAATGCAATGATGTGTAAGTTCAGGTAGATCAGATAATGAGGACACTGTGGCAGGTAAATGAAAGGAAGCAGGGAAAATAAGACATAGGATAAGCACATTTATGTTATGGAGGTGCATGTGAGTAAGACATGTGAGAGGTGAGGGAGACTTACCAAACAACTTGCATCCCTCTCCTTTCAATTTTTTTTACAACTGAAAATGCAAAACTTTCTTTTAATCATTTATGGCAATAAAAAAAACTATTTGCATGAATTGCTGTAGAGCTGAATCAAAGTAATGCTGCTAGAGCACCAGGTCTTTGTTTTTAAGAGTCTGTTCAGAATTCATAGGCTTAATTAACAGAATATTTTTCACTTGCAGGGTTTAATTAGAATTTTCACTTCCCTCTTTAACTGTGATCCAAATTCATCTGAAGACAATACGATCCTAAGCAAAAACTTTCACATTTGTTAGAATACTAATGTAGTGTTGAAAACTTCCAGTAGTTTAAACAAATGGGCCAATATTCGTGTTTCTATTGTTTTCCATAGGAAATACCTAACTGACATATAGGAATAATGCATCATTAGTCATCAATAAGAACATTCATATCCAATGTTTCCTTTGAGATTAGCTGTCTGCAAGAAAGCTTACAAACTTTTTTGAGTAGTTATCAGCATGTGGAAGAAAGACAGAGGAAATCTTTCATTCTTCAACTTTTAGTCCACAATGGGACTCTCAAATGTCCAGCTTTTGAGAGCTCAGCACAGCCTGAGCAGTTAAAAATCAGTGAATGGCAAGAAGTAAACATATTCCCACTTTGGTGTGGCAAACCAAAACCACTTAATTCTAACTCCTAACAAATAAATAACAGGAAAATTCAACAAATCTTGCCTGTAAAAATAAAATAAAATGCACTATTTTTTTACCAATTATCTCCATAGATTTGCATTTGTATTGTTATCTTTTCATCCAACTTTTTCATGAGGAGAAAAAAACACATTCCAAAAAAACCCACAGGTTATTGATCATCTTGATTGTTTTAGTTTTTTAAAAAAAAAATCTTGGTGGGTTGTCAATTTTCCCTCATAAACCTATGAAGGGCCTTCAAATGGAGCAATGGTGGAAGCTTTTATTGAGTTAGAGATGCTGGATTTATTAACAGTTGCTCTCTCTCCAGGTGGGAGATGGAAGGAGGGCATGGGTATTTCATAGCTAACCTGTTACTGTTTGTTATATCTTACCCTGGTTGGCCAGAGATAATTACTCTAGTTGGCCAGGGGTAATTATTTCTTATCCTGATTGGCCAGATGGTGGAAATGTTTGAATGTGGGTGGAGAATGGCTGTTGGCCTGAGATTGGGATGCAGAATGCAAGGCATAAGTCTTCTTGATACATGAACTCCATCTTTTAAGAGGAAGGTTTTGCTTGTAGGTGTTTAGGAAGGAATCTATGACAGGGAGGTTAAAAGCAACCAATAACATACCAGTAGTGATGGTTAAGGGAGGAGCAGCATGGTGTCCTAGTGGTGAAGACACTAACTTCCTACTGCTGCAAACTCCACATAGGTGTCAGGAAGGGCATGTGGCTACTAAATACTCAGCTTTACTTAGTCGCTATGATTCCACCCCAATTAAGGAACTACAGGATTGTAAAAAGAAAAGAAAAAAAGATGGTTAAGGGAACTATGCTGGGAGTGGGAAGTGGGAGGGGCTGTTTGTGTGGCCTCAGTGTTTAGTAAAGGTTTCGCACTTCAGGTAAATGTATTCAACCCTTTGGTTTGGTCAGTGAACTTAGATGGCCTTGCCAAATCAGTCATTTATGATTTCAAGGGTTTCAAAGACATAAATAAGCACAAGATAGCCAATAAAGACATAAATGCTTAAATAAATATGACCATGAGTAATTGAGAGTGGTAAAACATCTGTAAAACTTAAACAAAAACTAACATTTAAAAAAAAACCAGGTTTAAACAATCTCAAAGAACCATGAAATTATGGTTCATTTTGAAATATTAGGAGGAATAATCAAGAACCATTCTCATTGGTGATAAAATCCAAAAGGATTGTTGCAAATTTATCAAAACTCGGTCTGTACATCTATGTGTGTTCTATCTATGTTTCAGGGCCTTTTCAAATTGGAATAGAATATTCTTTTTTTCCAAGTTACCTTTATATTTAATTAAGAACAAGAGGCTGTATAGCTGAAGCGCAAATCTAACTGTTTCTCATTAACATATAGTTTCGTCAGAAAATACTACAGTTTTTCTAGATTTGTAATCCAAATAACAAACATGTTAATAGGTACCACTGACCAACAGTACTAGTTCTTAAAACCAGTAAGAAGGCCAACATAAGGGTTCCACATCTGTTTTTAGTAAAGTCTATTCCTGTCTGTGGTATTTAAAATCTAAGGGACTCGTATTATTGTACAATTAGA